ACCTTCCCTGCTGGCTTCCCACAAGCAAAGTTAGTGGTTTCACAATTCATGAAACTATTTAAGCCCAACAACACAAGTTGCTGTGAGTCGGGCTATAAATAAATCTATTAAATCTTATAATCTTATTAAAGATATAAATCTAATATATCATCATCATCATCTATTATTTCAATCAGATGAAATAAAATAAAAATTGTTTTAATATGTTAAAAACTACATTCATATTCTTATTATAATCTTTATAACAATCGTAACTATTCCTTCTGGATTACAGAGAAAGGTGACTTAATTAACACCCCTGAGTGAATTTATGCAAAGATAAGATTTGAACCAGGGACTTTCTGCTCAATCCCTGAGCAATTATATTATTAATTCTAAACTACTTGGCACGTGTTTTTAATTCAATCATTTTCAGGAGCCTTTTAATTATATCCTAGATGTTCTGAAGATGTTTGCTATAGCCATGCATGAGAATTGCATTTGAACACTTCTTGTTTTCTTAAATGAATCTTTCAAGAAGATAATGTCTTGGAGGATTCTGTCCCATATTCAGTTAGCTTTTTTTACTTCAAATTCAAATAGCTCAGTTTCCAGTCTTTCAATACTTCCAGTCCCCCATTATACTTTATAGTTTCTTCTCTTACCCAAGAGGGGAAAAAAAAGAATATCAGAAAGGATGACTAGGCAACAGAAAGGACACATGTCATTTTCAGCCAGAGTTCATGGAACCAAGTCTCTGTTGGCAGATGTCATCTGGCTTCCTGCAAGACATAGTGGATTTGGGTAAGAATGGGGAATTAACAAATTTGTTTACAGCCAGAAATTTGGGTGGTGAGTCTCATGATCTCTAAATTCAGTAGCCACCTCAGGTTTTAGCTATCCATTCATTAGTAGGGGGTTAGGTTGAGTTGGGTTGGATTGGATTTCTCCATTCTTGAAAGTTCTAATTTCAAATAATCTTGACAAGGCAAGGCCCAGCCAGGTTGGATGCATTGACTTGTACTATAAAAATAGTCCCTTATTTCAATGTATATGTCCTTATGGGGACAGCTCACTACAGTCTTTGGGCCATATGCTCCTTCATTACTCTCTCTCTCTAGGGAATCCCAGACAACTTTTAGCTGCCCTGTCCTGAAGAAATTCACTGGCCAAGAGCTTGACTTCTGTCACACCTCCTTTCAGACTATTGTTTAGATATATCTTTCTGGGTTGTCCAATTCCATGCCTCTATACACACCATCTGCCTCTCCTTTGGTCTCAAAATTTATACTAATTTCTTTTCTTTTTAGCCTTATACATTTCCATTTTTGCCTGTTTTACTTGTATATGACTGCTGGCCATAATAAAGGTTTGATTTGATTGGAAGGTCAAGGCAGTTTCCTCAGCTGTTAACTTGCAAGGTGATTAGCAGGAATCATTATGTTTCCTTATTTGCATCTTTGGGGAAGTTTCACAGTCTAGACTGTGGTTTCAAGGTATTTTGGGGATCCTAATAAGAATTAAAGCAATAAGCCACAACAAGCAACACCTTTCAGGTGTTCTGAGATTTATAGCTTACCGAGTGCCTCATTTTTATATATGTGCAAGGTAAGGTCTTCCATAGTTACTTTTTCTAGCTCATTAAAGGTATAATAGTAGATATTTTATATAAAGAGATGGTCTCTTAGATCTTGGAACAATGAAACATTATTGGCCTCTTTACTAAAATACGAAGTGATGCACTATTCAGCCATTGTTGAAGTAATAAACTAGATATTACCCCATTATATATTAAAAAGATAGAAATAGGAAAAAATTAAGGAAAAAACATTTATATTTCTCTTCTTACACACTTATTTCAGTGTACCTCTGCTATAATTTCAGATAATTGAGGGGCTAGTTGTGGTAGTTTTAGATTCATGGAAAACTTTATGTTGCAAAAGCACAAAGAATAGAGGCTGAAGGAACAAAGCCATTTGCTACAGTTAGCATTAGGTTTTACAATGTCATAATTCAATAATAAATGTCATAATTCATACTAAATGTAATTTGGCATTAATTCTTATTAACGTTACAAAAAACTTTCCTCAAGTTTTGTTTTGTTTTATTTTTAATCAGACCTATGTATTATTTAATGATGAACTTTTATGAAAACCATTCTAAAAACATTAACACTGGCTCATTTGGACCTGGGAGTTGCTTTCCAAGAAAGGATTAATAGCTTATAAATTTGGTGTCTTCCCAGCACAGTAACTTGTTTTATATACTTCTCATATAAGTCATCTAGTTGGTATTGTGCTGTAGATCATAGAAAGTTTTTTCCTCTTGGAAGCAATAACAACTGAAAAGAATACTGCCTTATGTTACAGTAGGTATATTTTTACTTGTATCTTGTATGTTAAGTTTTTCTTCTTTAAAAGATTGATTTTGCAATAATATCCACTAAAAATTCTGCATATAATTGAATATATACTTTGCTATTTGATTAAGTTATTTGGAAAAAAAATGCCTAGTATCTAGCTGTTTGAAAATATTACACATATGACTTCATTTATATGGCTTATATTTATCAAACTTCCTAATTTCATTCAGTGATTCAGTAAAAATAGTTTGAATTCCAATTCTGTCTTGGAAACAAATAAAGATCTTCAACTACCACCATGCAGAAAGTTCTGCACTTCTTGGGGAGATTTTGAACAATTCCATATCAAGCTGCTCCAGATGGGTACACTCCAGGTTTGTTGGGACTATATCTTTCAGTGAGCTGTCACATGTTTGATTGGCACCAGCATGGGAATTGCTCTTTTATATTGATCAATATATTCAGGAGCATGTGACATTACAATCAGAGCTGTATAGCTGAAGATAATATAGATATATACACAAACACAGAGACATAAACACACACACACACACAGAGAGAGAGAGAGAGGGAGAGAGAGAGAGAGAGAGAGAGAGAGATTTTTTCACCTAATAGTGTCCTTGTTCAGGCTGCAGCCAGCAAACCAATCATGCCTTATTCTGGAATACTCTGAGCAAATAAACTGCTCCTCTTTCCTCCCCTTAAATTTTCTGTTATGTATTTCCATCTAGAACAATTTGTTTTTGAAGTTCTGTTAGCCTCAAGGAATTCCCCAAGCATATTAATATTTTCCTCCTCATTTTTCAATACCTTTGCTTTGGCTCAATTTCTGTTATCATGCGGCATAAGTTTATTATTTAAAAAGGCATAATCTATAAATGAGGGTAACATGACCATCAGAGAAATGCATCCATAAAAAGTAAGGTGGGGGGATGTCTCTGAGAGAGAGAGAGAGAGAGAGAGAGAGAGAGAGAGAGAGAGAGAGGAAAGTAACCATTACAACCTCTTACATTGTACTTATGAGCAGATTGTAGGGTTTTATATTTTATTACATTATTGCCCTTGAAATTGCAGTGCATTTATAACATATGAAATATGTATTTTTAACACTAAAATGTAATTTTCCAACATAATATCCAAAATAAAGTGCCAAGAAGCTATTAACAGCAAATTGAATCTTGTGGTATGTAATTTAGTATAAGTAGTGACAAGTATTTTTCTCCTTCTCTCCCCCCACCTCAAGAAAGAAAGGAAAGAAAGAAACCCATTAGTCATTCAGTTTAGCAGCACAGAGGCAGCAGTCAGCAAGGGTGTGCATTCTGTGTCTCCTTCAATTGCACACTTCATTTATTTGAACATGGCACAGGCGGCTTTCTCTGTCATGCAGCATCACTACACTATTAGTGAGTTTCGCCCCAGGGCAGCTGGGACGCTTTGCCGGGGCAGATGTTCTTTTCAGCTTATTCACTGGCCGTTCTTGGTTGTTTACTGTTGTCATGACAACCTCTATTTCCATAGCAGCCATGTGGCCTCCTCTCAGAGACTAAGGAATATAGTTATAAAAGAATCATATTTTGCTCTGTGTCTCTTACTTACCATCTGTCAACTAACTGCATGTGATGGATTCAGAAACTGATTAAGGATAATGGTGGGCCTTCAGTGATCATTTATTAAAGTAAAAGTGGGCCTTATGCAAATACCTTTGTTGCCTTCTGGGAGGGGGCGGCTCTGTTTTTTTATGTACATATTTTTGAGCTCCCTATACTGATGCAGGTTTTTCCTTTTTTAACCCTTGTTGACACAGGGGGGAAAAGGTCCCAGAATTCGTATGCCAAGCGGTAAAGCCTCCTTCAAGTCAAGATCAACTTCTGGTGTATTCAGACGCGCATAAGTGCAGTTTTTGACAATAGTAGCCTGCATATAATCATTTAAACTATTTGCCTTATACTCCACCTTTGTCACCCAGGAGATTCTCTAATAAATATGGCTTGATAAGACAGCAATCAATTTAGCTTTGTACACTAATGAACTGCGGTACGGCATAGTGCAGCTTTTTTAACTTGCATCCAGGCAAAAGGTAGGGCGGTTGGAGATATTAATGATGCACATAGACTTTCTGATACAATTAGATGAATTAATAAGATAAGGTATATATCATGGCTTAACATTAAGATTAATATGTATATTCACACATAATACCAAAACTGAATCATTTTATGGCTTAGCACAGTGTGTGAAGCAGGCCAGTGTTATTGGAGAGAGGAATCAAATTAGATCCCAACTGTTAAAAAAAACTTACCTACATATTTGAGAAGATTAAGACACATTGCAGAGAGTCTTGTGGCAATTTAAAGTCTTAAAAGCATCAGCTTTAAAGTACCCTAAGACACTTTGAATGTGAAGGCAGTAAAGCATGGCCATCTCTCTGCAAGAATGGAAAGAAACTGCAGCATAGACTTATTAATAAGCAGTATTGTGACAATATGCCCATTTGTTTTGTATGTAGGTATTAGGACTTTCCTTTTCTCAGTTTTTTTTTTTTGGTTTGTTTCTTGATTTAATCTTATTTTACTAGAGAGATTCAGTTCATTCTGTCAAGTCATGGGGATGGGAATTGGCCCACTTGTAAAGTAATGTATTTATTGGTTGATTTTTCCAGATCCTGACATTGATGCTGCCACTGCCATGATGCTTTTGAATACTCCCCCTGAGATACAAGCAGGTTGTGAGTAGATATTTCTATAGCCTATAGCACCATAGATATGTAAGCCTAACTCTCTCTTTCATTAGTACACAGCCTATCAGATTTAAAAACAAAAATAGATGGAGAAATCAGATTTCTCAGCTAGATCCTTACTAACTCTTTTACATAGTATTATTCTGGGTAGGTGTTCAGGTAGATAACAGTCTGTGAATGCTGAGTAGACACAGTTGTATATATTTAATTCACAGAAATAACTGAATCTATTAGATATATGCAACTGTAATTCATATAATAATAACATGATAAGCATTTTTCTTCTATAGGGCAGATAAGATTATTTCTAGAGCCAACAAAAATGCTTTGATTTTGGTTTGAACTTATTTGCAGGGGTGCCTATATAAGCATCAGATGTTTTTAGGAATCAAAATTTGAAGCAGAAAAAAGTAAAATTATATCTAGTATTCAGGTGTTACATTTGCATTGTTAAGTCTATTTAAAAAGTAGAAAAGTGGATTTATCATAAGGAGAGCTAAGCAGACTTTTTTTTCAAATAAAACAAGCAAAGCTGTAGTTTCCTAAGCCAGTTATTCATTCTCTTTCTGGAAAGTATTTTATGTATAAGGCTTTTTATCAGATTAGAACTTCATTTTTACCCATTTTTAATGATTGGTACCTATTCTTGCAATATAAAGCCAGTTTGGTGAAGGGTTAAAGGCACTGCCTTAGTCACAAAAGCCAGCTGGCTGACTTGGACCACTCTCTCCCTCTGAGCCCTTGGAAGAAGGCAATGGCAAACCACTTTCAAAAATACTACCTAGGAAACTGAATGGATTTATCCATGTAGCTGCCAGGAATCAAGTCTAACTTGAAGACCAAAAAACAAAAACAGAAAGCAAAACCTCAGAATACATTTTCTTCTACATATAATCAGATCCAACTGTCTCTAAGTCTATGTGAAAAAATAATACATGAACTAGACTCAGGTGTGATTCCTGTGATTGTGATAATTTAAAAAATACATTTGGGGAAAAGCAGCCTGTAAAATTAGAGAGAGAAAGAGAGGGAAACGTGTGTGTGTGTGTGTGTGTGTGTGTGTGTTTAGGTTCTTAGTGGTTCATCATCTGCCACAGTGCCTCATAGTAGCTTTGTGGGCAATTATGATGTGGCCACCACCAACACACTTTAAGGATATACTACTAATGTTTGGACATCTTGATGAGCTGGCCTACACTTCCTCTCACAGTAATAAATTGGAGGAGACATCCACTGACATGGAAGTAAGATACTTATATAATAGGTAGCCAGCTGAAACCTGGTCCAATACTTTCCACTGACAATATTCCTCACTTTGATTTTTAAACTGTATTCTTGGGTCTTTCATTAACTTTACTAGATCCCCCCAAATAATAATTATTAACTATCAAGGAGTGTCATAATTGGATAAAGTGAATTTGTAATGTGTGTTGTAACAAATGGGCTGGTGTGCAGGTTAATTCTCTTTTCTAAAACATCATTTGAGGCTTCATTTACCAAGTAACTAAGCCTGAGGGAAAATGGCAGGGATCCAGTGGAATCCAAGCAGAAGGCAGTTTGCTCAATCTTCAATGCCCTAATATCTGCTGATGCCCCTTTTCCTCAGCTGCACCCATTTGCACATATGCCATACCATTTTGAAGAGTCTCCCAAATTTCAAGAGCAGCTTTCAGAGTATCAAGGATCTGTGGCAGACATGGGCAACATGACACCTCCAAATATTTTTTGATTTTAACTTCTTTCATTCACCATTAGAATTATAATGGTGGTTTACCAAGTCCTGATTTATAATGTGAACTGGGAAAAATGGAAAGAGCCATTCCACAAATGGCAGTCAAAATCCAAACCATTGTCCTCACAGTTACACCTCAAAACTAAAAAAGATAAATGTATCCTGCATACATTCGTTATTCATTGGATTTCTAATCCAATCTCCTCTAGAAACTCAAGGCAGCACATGTAATAATGCCTCCTTCAATTTTCTCACATTAAAAAATCCTGTGAAATTGGTTGGGCAAAGAATAGCGCCTGATCCAAAGTCATCCAATGAGCTATATTTCCTCTTCTAGTCCATCATGACTACCTTTCACTTATTCTTAAATCTATAAACAGATTTTCAGAATGGTAAATGATAAATATCAGTAGTACAGAAATTAAGTTGAATATTGCTTTAATCAACTCACAAAGGACATATCAGAGAATAACAGTATCAATAATAAAACACCACAAAAACGTTTGATGGTGGAAGCAACCGAATAATTTCAGTGCTATAAAATGTTACATTAAACTATTAACGTCTCATTGAATAGGAGATTGTTCTGAAAGTAATGAATGGCTTTACTATTTTTATGTTTGAAAGTGTCAAAGAATATAATCACTGCATTTGTGTGTCCATCCAAAATAAATCAAGAATGAACCAAATTTCTGCAATATCAGTATGTTTTTCATTGCAGAACCACAACTGACAATAGGGTAATTGAGTTCATTTAGGATTTTTTTTTCTGTATCTCAACAAGTAATTATCCAACTGATAAAAAATCTCATACAGCAGATATGCATTAGCTGCCTGAACAGGGATGTAAATTTCATGGGAATGCTCTGTTGAAGTTTGTCGAAAGGACTATATTCATATTTTTCAGTATTTTAAATAGAAACACAGTATGGCATTCCATACAAATCTACAAATAAGCATTAGTTGTTTATTATGGTGATTTAAAATCGTGTCTGGGTAGTGACTAGTATAAGAGACATTATTGTCATCAAACTTAACTTTCCCTGTATAGAGGCTTGATTTCTCTCAGTTTTAGAATCAACTCCACTAAGCTCTGCATATAGCAGATGCAACAAGTACATCTTCCAGTATCACATCCCTTTCATAATACCATTTGATCAAACAGTAGAATGGATTCCAGTACCGGGGGATTAGAATTCCATGCTGCTGCTGTTGTCCTTATTACATATGATAGGGTATTCTGGTGTATGCTATAAGCAATTTGGGAACAGAAATCTTGGTTTTGGAGAGGCTAAGTATTATAAGGCTCATCTTTCAAAGTTTGCATTTGGCTTTTCTGATCTCTATATGATTGTGATTGACCTATTGCTTACTATGGAGAAACACTTCCACTTCCTTATATTTCCCCATACATTACCTATTGATGTTTCCATGTATAATAATATTCTGCATCTAAACCAACTATTGAGCCAGGTTATGATTGCACACAGTCTCATAGAGGGATTCCTGGAGGTATAGATGTGACTTAGTCCAAATCTTAGATAGGCACATTCCCGATTCTATATTTATTTTCCTACCTACATTGGCTGTTGTTCATATGAAGGCACCACGTTTAGTAGTGTCTTGTATCCAAATGAAATTCTGGGGGAGTTAAATTTCTGTGGCACCTAATGGGACCATTATTCTTCCATTTTTATTGGGCCAGACTTTACTGTGAGATGTACATGGAGCAGTTCAAATGCAAGAGTTTTGCAGAAGTTGCCCACTTCTGTTTTTTTGTTTAATTTGATAGCAAGACCAGTAAATCTGTAAAATAGGAACCTTTTGAAAAATGGCAATTTGTTTACTTCACTTTTTAACATTAGCTATCAGAATTATTTAACATGAACATAATATTCTCTATCATTAATCTAATGGTTAATAGTTAATAAAAAATAAAGAATGAAGAGTGACACCATTAAAAAGGCCTTAATTTTACTCAATGGACTCTTCTTATTGGATTACAGGGCATCAAGAGAAAAGCCTTTGATGCAAATCTTAACATTTGGGCAGATACCATTCATATATTTGAGTTCCAAATCATTGGCACTTTTGTGCCTAAAGTCAGTGGAAGTAAGGGAAAAAGATATGCCAGTGTTTTTGCTTTGATATTCTTTAAAGTGAACATACACAATATTTTCTCTACTGGACTTTAGGTTTGCCCATTGGTAATTTTTGCAAGGACAGATACAAGCATGCATGTATATTCACTTCAATATATTCTAAAGTTGTGTGATAATATTCAGATAAAAGTGAGTGGTCTGACCTGATTTTTTTTTAGTACACATTAAATTATTGCTTAGTACAGATTACATCACTATCCCTTTTATAAATGATGGTTACAGAAGGTAAAGGTAAAAGAAGAACCTCTTTCAATCATCGTGGTTAATTCTGCAGTGGGACTCCTTGTGCAGAATCAGAGTGGAATACTTATGCTTGCAAAGCAAGGCTTTTGTATCCTGACCATCCTTCCCATATGTGGGGACCAAGTTTGAAGCATTTATCCCAAGCAAGAATTAAACTTGGGGCAGGGAGAGCACACAGTTGCAGCACATCTATTGTAAATAAGTCATAATTCATAATGCTCTGTTACCGGATAAAAGTTATAGTGGGCAGGTCTTTATATTATATGTCGTGTTCTCAGATTTGATATCATTGGTGCATACAGAATGACAGAAGCAACTGAGGCAGGATGCTCCAGTAGGCCCACAACTCTTTCCCAGAGTTGATGGGAAGGACAACAGAGGTAGCAGGAATGATATGGAATTGAGTGCCAAGGAATGAAAAGAAATGAGGATAAGCAAATACAAATAGAGATAGAGTTCCTGCCTTAACCATTAGCTGGATTTAGGAGGTTCCCTGATCTGTGCACCTCCCAGTTGCCGATATTTGAATACATAACGCTTTCCTTGCCAAAGGGATTCCAGCTGACTAAAAAAGCATAGTAGGTTTATAGGCAAGCCCTGAATTCAAAATATTTGAGAAATGTTGTGCTATGAAGCTAGGCCAGAGACTTTTCCAAACCCAGGTCTTTCCAGATATTTTGCACTACAACTCCCCTTTTACTTGACTTCATGGTACGCTGATTGGGGCTAGGTTCTCTTTCATTTCTGTTCTATGGAAATATAATGACCCACAAATGACACAAGATCAAGTTCTTTTTAAAGCAGGGTTAGTCAACCTGGAGATGTTTAGATGATTAGGATTTCCATTTCTA